AAGTTTTTAAAGAGGCAATGGGACCGATAATTTAAGTGTTTTATGAATTTTTCTTGCATTTTCTCCAAATCTTGAGTATAAATGATATACTGAGGGTTCCAAACTATGCTACAGTATTCTAGGATGCTCCTAACATAAGCGTAATATAGTACTTTTAGGCAACCGATGTCTGAGAAGGGACGACTAACACGCAATACGAAACCCAGGCTTCTGTACGCTTTGTTTTTAATAATTTCTGTATGATCAGAAAATGTCAACTTGCAATCAATGTGAACACCGAGATCCCTAACACAAGCCGATTTTGCAATTTTAACATTACTAATATAGTATTCAAAATTGATTGGATGTTTCTTGCGAGTAAAGGAGATAAAAGAACATTTATTTATATTTATCCCAATTCGATTATCAGTGTAATATTGTTCTAGACGGTTAAGATCAGCTTGTAGGCCAGTACAATCCATATCATTTTTAATTTTCATAAATATTTTGGTGTCATCAGCGTACATAAGGAATCGAGCGTGTTCAAAGCAAGCACCTACGTCGTACAAATATGAAGCGTACAGAAGTGGTCCCAGTATGGATCCTTGTGGGACGCCGGAAGGTATCGCAATAAAATCTGAGCAAAATTCTCCTACAACGACAGCTTGAGATCGATTGCGTAAATAAGATTCCATCCATCTAAGCAAGTTACCCCGGATACCAAGTTCATAAAGTTTACGTAAAAGAATAATGTGATCTACACGGTCAAACGCCTTCTCAAAATCCGTGTAAATCACATCAACCTGAGACCCGCCATCCATGTTACTTAATACGTAATCGACAAATACTCCCAGATTGGTGGCTGTGGACCGACCCTTCATGAACCCATGCTGCTCTATTGGTATTAAGACAGATATTACAGGATAGATAAATTTATGTACGACCCTCTCGAACACTTTGCTCAACACGTTAAGTATAGATATAGGTCGGTAGTTTTCAACTGAAGTCCTCAATCCTTTTTTATGAATTGGCACTATATGGGCCCTTTTCCAGATATTAGGAAAGTATCCATCACGAAGACACCTGTTGAAGACCAATGACACAGGACCCGATAGAGATTTAGCACATTGAACGAAGAATACCGGTGGAATACCGTCGCAACCAGCTCCCTTTTTGACGTCAAGATTTTTAAGCAGTTCATAAGTACATTCTTCAGTAACATTAATGTCATGTATAGTGTCAGATCGTGGAGTTTCATTTATTGAGTTAGCTGGGTATTGATCCGCTGGTTCATAGAAGTTTCTCTCAAAAAAGTTGCTGAATGCGGAACAGATATCCGATGGTGCATTTAACACATTCTGATCAAAGGTCATTTGATGTGGATAAGAGGAGCCTACTTTTCTCTTGGACTTTATATACGACCAAAAATATTTAGGATTAGTCTTAATTCTTTGTTGCGAGAAAGCAATGAATGATTGATGGCTTTCGGTCTGTAGTTTCTTAATAGTCCGTCTGAGATAGCTAAAATGTGCATAATCAATCGGGTTTCTATGACGCTTCCAATTCACATGAGTCCTATCTTTTTCTTTAATTAGTTTTATTAACGCTATATTATACCAAACTGGGTAAATGTAGGTACTTGAGCAACGAACTTGTGGTACGAAGGTTTGTATTTTATTATTTAAGATCGAGTAAAATTTCGTTAATATGTGCTCTATGTTACTATTTTCGAGTACAAAACTCCAGTCCTGATTTCTAAGCGATTCGTTAATACTATCAAAGTCAGCTCGTTTATATAGATATTTAGTGCGAGATTGAGGTTTAATTATTAATCGGCAGCCTTGAAGGTACGGACCTGTCCATCCTATGGCTGCGCGTAGACAGCGACGACCATCCCCGCGTCTACGGGTGCCTCTATAGGTCCCATAGCGGTAATGCCGACACAGACCGACTCATCGACCACGTCCAAATGGCTGCAGACTCCGTGCTACAACAGGTCCCATCCGCAGAGATCGTGATACTCGGTGATTTCAACGCCCACCACGCTGAATGGCTTGGTTCTCGTTCAACCGATCATGCGGGTAGATCTGTCTACGACTTTGCTTTGGCATATGGTCTAACACAACTGGTTACTTCGCCTACGCGGATCCCAGATGTGGAAGACCATGTACCTTCCCTGTTGGACCTTCTGCTGACCTCTCATCCGGACGGATATCAGGTCTCCGTCGATGCCCCTCTGGGCTCTTCGGACCATTGTCTGATCCGGAGCACAGTGCCACTCACGCTCCAATCGCAGTTGCGATCTACAGCTTGCCGCCGTGTTTGGCACTATAGGTCAGCTGATTGGGACGGGATGCGGTCTTTTTTTGCATCCTACCCTTGGGGGCGGGTTTGCTTCTCGCCGGAAGATCCCAGCGTTGTTGCCGATTCTGTTGCTGATGTGGTACTTCAGGGTATGGAACTTTTTATTCCATCCTCTGTGGTGCCCATCGGAGGCAGATCCCAGCCATGGTTTGGTCGCTCCTGTAAAATAGCATCACGCTATAAGCAGGAGTGCTACCGAGCCTGGGCTGACGCATCAACGTCTCGGGATTTAAACACCAGCGCACTTAAAAAGAAGTATAATTCCGCCTCCAGGTCCTTCAAAAGCGTCATTGCTAAGGCAAGGTCTGAGCACATCGGCAGAATTGGCGAGAAGCTAGTTCGCCTTCCTTCGGGAACCCGTGCATTCTGGTCTCTCGCCAAGGCTGTCCAAGGGAACTTCTGTCAGCCATCCCTCCCATCTCTGCACAGAGAGGACGACTCACTGGCCCATGCCGCAAAAGAGAAAGCCGATCTGTTGTGCTCTCTTTTTGCGTCCAACTCGACTCTAGATGACGGGGGGAACACACCGCCGACCATCCCGCGATGTGAGTGCTCCATGCCGGATGTGCGATTTACACAGCGCTCGGTTCGCAAAGCACTTTTCTCCCTGGACGTCAGCAAGTCGAGTGGGCCCGATGGAGTCCCTCCCATTGTGCTGAAGACGTGTGCTCCGGAGTTGGCACCGATTTTAACGCGTCTTTTCCGGTACTCCTACTCCCAAGGCGTAGTCCCGAATTCATGGAAGACAGCTTTGGTCCACCCGATCCCTAAAAAAGGCGACCGCTCAGACCCGTCCAACTACAGGCCTATCGCCATCACCTACTTGTTCTCCAAAATAATGGAATCCATTATAAACTGCCAGCTCATGAGGTACCTTGAGGATCACCAGCTGATCAGTGACCGTCAGTACGGTTTTCGTCGGGGTCGATCAGCAGGTGATCTTTTAGTTTACTTAACTCATAGATGGGCGGAGGCAGTAGAGTCCAAGGGGGAGGCATTGGCCGTTAGTTTGGACATAGCGAAGGCCTTCGATCGGGTCTGGCACAAGGCGCTTCTTTCGAAGCTTCCTTCCTATGGGCTTCCTGAGAAATTGTGCAAATGGATCACCAGTTTCCTTGCTGATCGGAGCATCAAGGTCGTAGTAGACGGTGCATGCTCTGATTACAAGCCTATCAACGCTGGTGTTCCACAAGGCTGCGTGCTATCACCAACGCTGTTTCTCCTGCATATCAATGATATGTTGCTAACTGGTAGCATTCATTGCTATGCAGACGACAGCACTGGGGATGCCTTATATACCGGCCGTGCCAATATTTCTCGGGAAAACGTCGCCGAGTACCGGGACAAACTTGTGTCTGAAGTCGAGTCTTTGCTTAACAAAGTCTCGGATTGGGGCCGACTAAATCTAGTCCAGTTCAATCCCCAGAAGACACAAGTTTGCGCGTTTACCGCTAAAAAGAACCCCTTTGTCGTATCTCCTCAGTTTCAAGGCACTCCCCTTGCTGCCTCAGCCAGTATCGGAATCCTTGGCGTCGACATATCGAATAGCGTGCAGTTTCGTGGTCACTTGGAAGGGAAGGCCAAATTGGCCTCTAAAAAGCTTGGCGTGCTCAGCAGAGCGAGACAGTATTTCATGCCGGCACATCGCTTGCAACTTTACAAAGCGCAAGTTCGGCCTCACATGGAATACTGTTCTCATCTCTGGGCCGGGGCACCCCAGTGCCAGCTCCTTCCACTTGACCGCATCCAGCGCAGAGCGATTCGAATCGTCGACGACCGAGTTCTTTCCGATCGGCTCGATACACTGGCACTGCGTAGAGATGTTGCATCTCTTTGCGTATTTTATCGCATCTATCACGGGGAGTGCTCTGAGGAATTGTTCGGACTAATTCCAGCCGCTCAATTTCACCATCGCACGTCGCGACAAAACTCGCGTTACCATCCATACCATCTGGATGATTGGCGGTCCACCACTGTGCGATTTAGAAGAAGTTTTCTCCCTCGCACAACTTCTTTGTGGAATCAATTACCACCAGCGAATTTTCCGAACCGATACGACTTAGGAACCTTCAAGAAAAGAGCTTACACCTTTCTAAAAGGCCGGCAACGCATCTGCAATTCCCCTGGTGTTGCGGTTGTTCATGGGCGGCGGTAGTCACTTAACATCAGGTGAGCCGCATGCTCGTTTGCCCCCTATTCTATAAAAAAAAAAAAAAAAATTAGAGGGACTAGAATATCGGAAGCTACAATAGAAAGAGTCGGATGTAGAGGATCTTCCTTTACTAAAGGCATCGTAGATTTCTTTATGGTGACGGACGAATCAGAGAAAATTAGGTCCAATGTATTGTTACAGTTATTAGTGTAATTGTTAAACTGTGACAAGCCAAGAAAGGAAGACTGAGTGACAAAACTCGATGCAGCATTCTGAAGCTCGACGGAGCCCTTCCTCAGAATTATTGGTTCCCCATATTGCCAGTCAATAATAGGCAGGTTAAAGTCGCCCGCAATTATAAAGTGATCATTGCAGTTTTGGCTTTTGATTTCAGAGAGTTGATTCATGAATATGTGCAATCTTGATGGAATTTGATCATTGGGTGGGATGTACACTGTAGCAATATGCAAATTATGCCTGGCTTTGATAGCTTTAGCAGGAATAGTTACCCACACAGACTCCAGGCCACTACAATGCCATTCTGATCTGGTGCGTGCCTGTAAATTCGAAGCACACATAATCATTACACCACCCCCCAACGACCCTCTGTCCGTACGAAAGACTGTAAATCTGTCATCACACAGCTCAGTATCAAAAATGCTATTGCAAAGCCATGTTTCAGTTACCATAATTATATCGGAGTCCTGCAGTAACACGTTTTTAAAAAATTCATCGGTTTTGGTTCGTAGTCCTCTCACATTTTGATAGAATAGCTTAATTTTCTTCATATTATTGTTATTCATCTTGATTAAATTCAGTGTGTTGAAAAATATAGGCAAGACATATATAATTGCAGTTGGTTATAAGGACGGTCGAAATCAATTGAACCGCACAATGATAAACGAATGGTTTAAATAGTGAGTAGGTATTACGCAGAGTTTGAGTGACATATATGTTAATGAGCATTGGATGTATTCGTACATGCAGTAAGGATAAGAGGTTAGGACAATATGCAATTGTTTCTAAGGTACGTGATGTGTATATGCAGTGTATAATGTGAATATGAGTGTAAGTAGATTTTATAATGTATGTGTATTTGTGTATGCTGTGTGTTAAAGTGACCACCGGAATATAATAAGAAGTGTGAGAAGTGTAAGAGTAGAGAGTTAGGCAATTAATTACAATATCTTTCCAAGATCGCTCGTCGAGTCTATCGCAAATGGAGTCGAGGTGTCGTTTCTTCTGACATAAATTCGGCAGTTTTTTGTCCACACATACTTGTACCCTGTCTCTCTTGCTTTTTGCCTACAAGAACCCAACAACATTTTATTTTCTTTAATGAGATGTTCATTGATATAGATTCTGGTCTCTTCACCTCCCATCCCGATATCTCTGGTGGTCATGTTGCGATGTTTACGTGCTGCAGCGATCACTCGGTCCTTAATAGAGCGCTGTCTGAATCTGACGATTACTGAGCGTGCTTTATGAGCGCTTGCGTTACGCCTCGGCTGTACTCTGTGAGCGAATTCTATGTCTGTGGGTTGGATGTCAGCACCGACGTGATTCGCCGTTTTCAGCACAATGTTCAGTAACTCCTCATCCTTGTCTTCAGGTATGTTAACGAGTTCAAGGTTTTGCAATCTCTGCCATTGTTGCTGTTTTCGGTTCTCCACCTCTAATTCTTTGACTCGGGCAGAGCAAGTAGTAAGGCTTTCTTTAAGCATATTGTTCTCCTCTTTCAGGGACCTCAATTCTAGAGAAGTAGAATTGAGCAGCTTTTTCAAGTCAGTAATTTCCTTTTTCAGGTCTTCGTATTGGCAGTTTATGTAGGTCATAGACTCTTGAAAACTAGTAAATTGTACATTCATGCCTTTAAGTTGTTCGGATAATTCCTTAGAAGAAGCCTCAACAATAGCCCTTGTCTCAGCCCTCTCAGCTTTAAAAAGCTCCTTTAGCTCACTATTAGATAAGTAATTTGGCTTTTTCCGCAGTGTTATGTTGCTGCCCGAGCAGCATTCAGTGTAGGTTTCATCACAAGGAGCAGTTGGTTCATAGTGGGCGGACGGTCGCACTGGCGTGTTAGTGTTATCTGATTTTGGTTTCTTACTTTTGCATTCCAAGCATCGCCATTCGCGTTTATTCTCAGCATTCATCTTATTCAGTCGTTTCGGCGAGAGACTTGCACACTCAAGGTCATACATCTGCTTGCATCCATGACAGCTAATGAAGTATTTATCCTTAACAATCATCTTACAGCCGCCACAAATAACTTTAACATCCATATCGGTGCTTGTTAAAGTTTCTCAGCGCCTTACACAATATAAGAGCATAGCAACGCAACGCAGGAGAGATACGGCTGTGGCGGTCGATTGCCAAGGAGCGGTCAGTAGTCACAACAACACAGTAGCTACGTCACAGCAGCGGGCACTCTGCGGGTTGTCGTAGGTCAGGGTAGTGTCGTGTGCAAAAATTATAATTTAACGAATTAGCTTATTACTCACTGGATTCTTGATAATTATGCGATGTTATTATACCAAGAGATAAGTCACTTAATCAATTGTGAGGTTATAAGCAAATCCACTTTTATGTTTGTCGGACCACGCCACCGAATTTGTAGATTGATCTTCTATGTGTACATCTAAGTCATTAAGACTATGTCGAAATCTGTCTGCAGTAAGACGGGCCTCTCGCTGTTCGTCTGTTTCAAGAGACCGAATATTTTCAATTCTTAATCTTTCATTAGACAAACTTATTAATCGTTCTTGTCTCAAAGAATTGTAATATTCACGTCCCGACTCTAGTCGTTGTTCTCTCATGTTCATCTACAAGAGATCGAATAATATTATGGTGCACCCTATCATTTGTCAAACGGTCTTCATATTGAGTAAAAGTTTCAGATTCTCGCGATAAAATATGACGTTCGCGATCAGCTGTGAGACGTAATTCCCTCTCAGTGTAGGTTTTGGACTTGCGAGATAATGTATGCCGTTCGCGGTCAGCTGTGAGACGTAATTCCATTTCAGTGAAGGTTTCGGACTCACGGAATTATAAACGCCGTTCGCTATCTGCTGTGAGACGTAATTCCCTCTCAGTGTAGGTTTCGGACTCGCGAGATAATGTATGCCGTTCGCGTTCAGCTGTGAGACGTAATTCTCTCTCAGTGTAGGTTTCGGACTCGCGAGATAATGTATGCCGTTCGCGGTCAGCTGTGAGACGTAATTCCCTCTCAGTGTAAGTTTCGGACTCGCGAGATAATGTATGCCGTTCGCGGTCAGCTGTGTCAGCTGATAATCGCATCTCTCTTTCTGGAGAGCTTTCATTGGCTCGAGAAGTTGAGGCACTAACTCTCATAGAGTTTCACCGATGTGCTCTTTCCTCTGCCGAATCTTGAGAACGCACATTTCTCATTCTCTTAGCTTCTCTCGAATTTCGAGATAAAGATAATCGTTTTTTAGGTGGCATTGTGTATTTTATTTTTAATCGACGGCATTCAGTTACCTAACAAAATAATCTACGTTAGAGGTCCTAACTATAGCTACCATACACTTAAAAAAATCTAAATGCCTACTTAAATAATAAAACAGATCCTAAATAAATCCTTAAATCTAAAATTAAATTCTTAAAGATATATAAGTAGGTACCTAAACTACGTCTAATAGAATGAAATAACCTATTTGATACCTAGGTACCTATTTAAAACTACAGCTAAATAAAAAAAATGTTTTATTTATAATTAAGCTAATACTAAGAAATATTTAAACACTACCAAAATAACTAATACCTATTTTATAAAATAACAACCAAAGAAATCTAAAAATAAATTATTAAACGTAAGAGTAGACTTAAAGTCGCGCTGATAAGCACGGTTTGTTAAAATCAATTATTGTCTGTCAATAAGGTCGAACACTCTGAACGTCTATTCGCATCAACAGCCAAATATTGTATGAAGCTCGCACTCTTTTTTTTTTTTTTTTTTTGCGCCAGCAATTTGGAAAAGGGCTACCCTTTATGTAGGGAGGCGGAAATGCATTACGCATACCACGACAGCCGGTCTATCGTGGTTATGTGGGACTCACTGTGACTACCTACTGGGGAACCTAAGTGATACCCACTAAAACCGCCTTTGGGGACTGGCAACTAGCTGTTTAAAGCTTCTTATGCCGTATCGGAAGCGACCCTCTTTTGGGAAAAGAGGGCGCAGGCGGCTATTAGCCGCTGAGGGAGTGCCTACGAAGGCAAATTAATTATGAATAACTTAACTAGAGTTGGCCTGAGCCGCCAGGAGGCAGTTCAGGTCGTTTGAAAGTTTATTAGGCGGGTCCGAGAGGGAGTTCCTCGGCCTGCGGACGCTATAGCGAGAGGGGGGTGGGGCTGCATAATTAGCTGCCTCACGAATAAAATGATTGGAATGCGACTCTGAGGCTTTGAAGAAGTTCTCAGAGAGTTTTTTAAGGAATTGTTGGATTGTAGGGAGCTCTAAGTCCCGATGAAGGTCGGCATTACGGACGTACCAAGGTGCGTTCGTAGCTCGACGACAGAAGAGGTTTTGAACTACTTGGAGTTCATTAATAATTTGAGGGTCAGCGTGGGCAAAAATGGGGCCCGCGTAGGACATGACTGGTCGTATACAGACCTTATAAAGGGTGCGCTTGTTTCTGAGGGACATTTTACTGTGTCGGCCCAACATACTGTTGAGCCTACCCAGGTAAAAACGTGCGTGACGGGTTACTCTTTTGACGTGGGACCTGAAAGTGAGCCTAGTGTCAAGGGTGACACCTAAATATTTGGCAGTCGTATGCCAGGGGACAGGGGTCCCTAGCATACGTATTGGTGGAGTGTTTTTGAGTCGGCGTCGTTTATAATCGAAGTGAACGGCGGAGCTCTTCTCCGGGTTCACATCGATGCGCCATTTTTTGAACCAAGCTCCTAGGTCATCAACTGACTTTTGGATCTTGTTCCGTATGAAAGGTAGCGAGGTACCTTTACAGTATAGGGCAGTGTCATCTGCGAAGAGGGAGAGCTGAACACCTTTCGACGGGATGGGAATGTCGTTGGTGAACAAAATGTACAGGAGAGGAGCAAGTACTGAGCCCTGAGGGACACCAGCTTTGATGGGGCGCTGAGAAGATAGCGTGCCTTCGTGTCTGAAACGAAAGGTACGATGCTTTAGATAAGAGGCCACGAGACGTACTAGACGATCGGGGCGACCTATTTTGTATAATTTGTAGATAAGGCCTTCATGCCAGACTCTATCAAAGGCTTTAGCTATGTCGAAAAAGACCGCGATGGTCTTATGACGACGAGGATAAAAACCGCTGAGGATATATTCCACAATACGGTGAACTTGTTGGGGACAAGAGTGTTTCACTCGAAAACCGAGTCAATCTGTAGGAGAGGCCTATATTTATCAGTGGAATTGTGTGTAAGAATGTGACGAACTCCTTTTTTTTTAATAAAACTGAAACAACAAACGAACTTAGAATCCACCTAATGGTAAGTTGCTACTGCCACGCAAGATAACAGATGCTTTATCCTCTCTGAGGTTCTCTTTACCCTTCATACCGATGCAAAGAAATATTCAAAAGGGTGGTATCTAACACGATCAAGCCTAAACAGAGAAGAAAATACTCGGGGCTAATACACAAATGCCACCGGCTTTAATAAAAGATATGTTAATTGCACAGTATAACCTTACAATGGATCAAAAGCCACAAGGATTACTGAGGCAACGACGCGGCGGAATAATTAACCAAAGGAGGATTAGCACTAGGTGCTATTGGACCATAGCACGCTCGACTTAGCACAAGCCATTAACATTGCAGGCAGGCTCTCAATGCAGTATATGGTCGCTTCTAAAAATGGCTAACGCGCATAAATAATTTCCAGATTTGGGAAGTAACATAAATAGAAATATATTTTTTTATTTAATATAGATTGTAAATGATACTTACTAAAAGTTATTCGTATGTTTAATTTATCACTGGCACGGCAAATACCTCTGTCTTGGGAAGAATTCTCAAGAAACTCACCGCGACATTTTTTAAACTTCTGCCTTGCGCCAATGCAGCCATTGCACCCGCCTTTGTGTATAAAGATATGAAACTATACTATAACATAATTAAGTTAACATTAACAATAACGTTAACGTTAACATTAACAATAATGTGGTATTATTTGCGGAATACCACATTATTGTATAAACTGTAAAGTTTGTGTGTGTACAAAATCGTCTCCAGATTATTAATTTTTTAATTATTTATACTCTTTATTGCACACAAAATATTACAGAACACTAAAAACTTAAATTTATAAATTAATGTACAACTAAGTGGCCTTATTGCTAAACAGCGATCTCTTCCAGGAAAACCTTGGTGAAGTAGGTCACCAATTTAAATATAGTATATAAGTATGCATAAATAGTAAATAAACAATAATAATAGCTATAAATAGTATAGAGACAATGCAATAATTAAATACATAATATTCTAGGTTTATTTTTCAAAGAGTAACCAAATTTTAAAATTAAGTTCAAATATATATAATAATATACCGCTATTGCAGTTTCTGAAAATACGAGTAAATAAGGCTTCTACTCTTATTTGAAATTATCCCAAATTGAATGTGATTTATGGGCAACAACTACGCGTACGCGCGCCCCACTGTGCGCGTCCATTCAAATTCACAACATTTTTGTCGACCGATCGACCCTTAAGAATGTGTGCGTGCGTAGTAAAATAGCAGGCGTTATTTATGAATGGCAATCAGTTAATATAATGCATTACAACACATTTTAAAATTATAAGATAAAAAAACAGAATGCTTCAGATTTTTTTAGTTAAATTTTATCACCATTTACCTATATTACTTATTCTGAACTTCTGCAAATTTGGCTGGTTATTGGAAAATAACCCTGTATACATATACATATAAACACACAAATACATATATACATACACACATTCATATACACATATCACACACATCATCAGATCACCAGAATTCCAATTCCAATTCCAATTCCAATTCCATTTCCACTCATGCGTTTACTCCCATTTTTCTTCTTGCCTGAATATGGATTTTTACAGTATCGACAATATATTCAATCCTTTTTACCTCTCACTCTACGCTATATAATAATATAGTCCACTATTTA